TTCACTCCCCAGATGGCTGCAACGGCCAGGGCTGGCCAGCAGCTTCATCCGGGTCTCCCATGTGGGTGCAGAGGCCCAAGCATTTGAGGCATCTTCCGTGGTTTTTCCTAGGCCATTAGCAGGGAGCTGGATTGGAAGTGGAACAGCCCAAAATTGAACTGGCATATGGATGCCGATGTTGCAGGTGGTGGCTTTACCCACTACACACCTGCCTGGATAATCTCTTCCCACCCTCCCCTTCTCCCTGTCACACATCCTTCTTATTCCTATCCTCTCCTAATATGGTTGTGTACTTTTGGTTAGATCAGCATTCACTCTTTCCATGACTATGCAAATGCTCCTCACAGCTGGGCCATGGGATTTACCTTGCTTATTTCTCCTTTTTGATTTGAAAGGCAGAGTTACAGAGAGAGGGAGAGACAGAGAAAGACCTTCCACCCACCAGTTCACTCTCCAACTGGCCTCCATGACTGGGGCTGGGCCAGGCCAAAGCCAGAAGCTAGAACTCCAGCTGGGTCTCTCACATGGGTGTTAGGAACTCAAATGTTTGGACCATCGTCTGCTTCCTCTCAGAGGCATTAGCAGGGAGCTGGATTGGAAGTGGAGCAGCCAGGACTTGAACCAGCACCCATCTGGGATACTGATGACACGGGCAGTAGCTTAACCCAGCTACCAGTGCGCCACATGCTGGTTCCCTATTTCTCCTTTTCTTCCTTCTCTTTCTTCCTTCCTTCCTTTTTTTTTTTTTTTTTTTAAGATTTATTTATTTATCTGAAAGGCAGAGTTACAGAGAGGCAGAGAGAGGCCTTCCATCTGCTGGTTCACTCCCCAAATGCCCACAACAGCTGGGACTGCAGCAGGTTGCAGCCAGGAGCCCGGAGCTCAATCCAGATCTCCCACAAGGTGGCAGGGACTCCGCTACTTCAGTCCTCACCTGCTGCCTCCCCACGTGCACACTGGTAGGGAGCTGGAACTGGGAGCTAAGCTGTGACTTGAACTCAAGGTATTCTGGGCTGGCGTTGTGGCTCACTAGGTTAATCCTTCACCTGCGGCGCCAGCATCCCATATGGGCGCCGGGTTCTAGTCCCGGTTGCTCCTCTTCCAGTCCAGCTCTCTGCTGTGGCCCGGGAGTGCAGTGGAGGATGGCCCAGGTGCTTGGGTCTCTGCACCCACCTGGGAGACCAGGAAGAGGCACCTGGCTCCTGGCTTCGATCGGTGCAGTGCCAGCCATAGCAGCCATTTGGGGAGTGAACCAATGGAAAAAAAACCTTTCTCTCTGTCTCTTTCACTTTCTATAACTCTACCTGTCAAATAAAAAAAATTTTTTGACACTGGATGCAGTGGTGACTTAACCGCTGTGCCAAATACCTGCCCCTCAATCACATTCTTGATTTCATCTTGGAGAAGTCTCCCTCCAAGCCTCTGACTGTGAGGTTCCGGCTGGGAGACCCTAGGCCTGTGTCCCCGTCATCTCCGGGACCCTTAGTGCCTCTCTCATGCTGCAACTGTCCTTCCTAGATCCCAGATCCTCTGTTTCCTTGGTTTAGAATCAAGGGTGGGAACATCTGGCCCGAGGGCTACTTTAAGGCCCAAGAGATCATTTGGTCTGGCCCTGCCAAGGCAACTGCAGGTGGGACTCAAAATTCAATAAATCTATAGCAGGCTAATTAAAAAAAATATTTGGGGCTGGCGCCATGGCTCAGTAGGCTGGTCCTCTACCTGTGGCGCCGGCACCCTGGGTTCTAGTCCCGGTCGGGGCGCCGGTTCTGTCCCGGTTGCCCCTCTTCCAGGCCAGCCCTCTGCTGTGGCCCGGGAGTGCAATGGAGGATGGCCCAAGTGCTTGGGCCCTGCACCCGCATGGGAGACCAGGAGGAAGCACCTGGCTTCTGGCTTTGGATTGGCATAGTTCCTGCCGTAGCAGCGGTTTACGGGGTGAACCAGCGGAAGGAAGACCTTTCTCTCTGTCTCTCTTACTACCTAATTCTGTCAAATAAAAAAAGAATATATATATATATATATATATATATAAAATGTACCACTTTTAGGCGTGTTGAAGTATACAAGTCAATGACATGTGTCCACATGTTGTGCAACCGTCTCCGCCATCCCAGACCTTTATCACCAAATGGAAATGCCATACTTCTTACGTAGTCTCTACCCATCGTCCCTCCCCCAGCCACAGGCAGGAGCGAATCTGCTTTTCCTTTCTAACGATTTGGCTGTTGTGGATATTTCGTGTAAACAGAACGCAGTGTGGGATCCTTTGGGTCTGGTCTTCTTTCACTTAGCATATTTTCTTTCTCTCTTTCTTTAAATATTTATTATTTATTTGAAAAGCGGAGTTGGGGTAGGGAGGGAGACAGAAAGAGATCTTCATCCACTGGTTCATTCTCTAAATGGCCACAATGGCTGGAGCTGGGGCCCGTCCAAAGCCAGGAGTTTTCTTCCGGGGCTCCCACGTGGGCCATCTTCTGCCACTTTCCCATGCACAGAAGCAGAGAGATGGATTGGAAGTGGAGCATCGGGCCTAGAACCAGCACCACAAGGGATGCTGGCATTGCAAGCCATGGCTTGATCCACTACGACACAATGCCTCACTTAGCATATTTTCAAGGGTCATCCATGTTGTGGCATGTATTAGTACTTCCTTTTTTGTGGCGGAATAGTATTCCATTGTATGAGGTGTATCATGTTTTGTTTATCCACTTCTCAGTTAATGGACATTTGAGCTGTGTCTACCTTTTGGCTACTGTGGATAATGTTGTCATGAACATCCGTGTACAAGTTTTTGTTTTGAGTACCTGTTACTGACTCTCCCCTTGTGTCTTCAAAAAGTTCACAGAAGATTCATATTATAAAAAAATCTATGTACAGACTTCAAATTTTCTTGCTTTTTCTTCTTTGTTTTGACCTCTATTATAGCTTTCTTCAAGCATCTGGGGACTTCCAGCTATCATTTGTATTTCAAAGCCAGGCCCTAAAAAGCTCATTGGAAGTCTGTACCTGTGACATTCCCGACTCTGGGGTTCAGTCAGGTGACCTGGCTGCACTGTCCCTGGAGGAACTTCCAATGTCCCCATCTTCAGGTCTTTCTTCTTGGGCTGCTCATGTTCTCCAAGGATGATACAGAGGTCTCGGTACCTCAGTTGAGGGAAAGAAGCCAGTGGGCGGAAGGGCCCCCAATATTCAGTAAACAAACTTGTGCTTACTACACTCCTGTTTGCAGTACGGTGCCCCTGCCTCCCCTTCACCTGTGTCTGGCAATCTCTAACCAAGAGATCCTGTTTCACCTTCTCTGGTCCTGGGGCATCAGCGCAGAGGGGAGCCGGGGTCCAGCTGCTGCTTAGAAAGACTTTCAGTTGATTTGGGGCATTTCTGTATTCACCCTCCAGACACACTTGGTGCTGCCATGCCTGAGCCTTTTGTTCTGATACAGCCTAGGTTGCATTTCAGTCTCTCACTGCCGGCTGAGGGTTTAGTTTTCTTGGATATGCTAGTCAGTTACCACTTACCCATTTGCTTTTCCACTTCCAATATTTTGTAATATTTTGTTGCCATTCTTTTTTTTTTTTTTTCTTTTTTTTTTTGGACAGGCAGAGTTAGACAGTGAGTGAGAGAGAGAGAGAGAGAGAGAGAAAGGTCTTCCTTCCATTGGTTCACCCCCAAGAGGCTGCTTCGGCTGGCACGCTGTGCTGATCCAAAGCCAGGAGCCAGGTGCTTCCTCCTGGTCTCCCATGTAGGTGCAGGGCCTAAGGACCTGGGCCATCCTCCACTGCCTTCCTGGGCCACAGCAGAGAGCTGGACTGGAAGAGGGGCAACCGCGACAGAATCCGGCGCCCCAACCGGGACTAGAACCCGGGGTACCGGCGCCACAGGCAGGGGATTAGCCAAGTGAGCCGCGGTGCAGGCCCGTTGCCATTCTTTATTCGTGTGGTTTTATGCCCTTAATAAAAGCAAATGCCTGTAACTGTCATTTCATTGGGATTTGGGGAGAGTAGAGGCCAGAGCCTACACCCAACCATTTAACCTCCGGGGATGCAGGGTGCTGGTGGTAGGAATTTAGCATATTGCTTAACACATAGTGCCCAGTAAGTATCTTTTGTTCAAATAAAGTATTAATTAGCACCATAGTCCTAGAATCATTGTCCTTCCATTTTTGAAAAAATGTTGAAACCTGGGCTCTGCCCACCATTTAATTGTGTGACCTCAGCCAAGCCACTTCCACGCTGGACCCCCAGCCCTCTCCTCGGGGTAGCAGCCGCCACCACCACCATCACCACCACCACCACCACCACCTCAGGTGCCTCACTCCGTGCCCAAACCAGGAAGCTGCTCTGTGGTGTGCAAGGATTCAGTATCAAAGCCACAGTTCTTAGAAAGTCAGTGTTTTACTTAAGCTTAAAATTAGCCTTCACACTTGAATTGCAAATTGGCCCCTAATTAACGCCCTTCAGGGCAAAATCTGTTTAACTCGACTCGATATTTCAAGATGGCAAAACCTTTCCGGCAGAGAGCGGGCACTAATGGTAGTCACGGGGGCCCTACTACGTGCCGGCGCCGCCCCTCGGGCGCTCGGGGCGCGGACCCCACACCGGGCCCCCGCACCTCCTGGTGCTGACTGGGTGCGGACCCCGGCCCGCCGCGCTCCGGCCTCCGAATCGGTGCGTGGGGGGCGCTCCTGTCGGTCAAACAGTCCGAGTCGCTGCCCTAGTCACGGGGGTGGCACAGCCCATCCTTGTCTTCACCGGTAGAAGCCCCCACTTTCTCCAAAGAAGAAACTGAGGCAGTGCCCTGAGAACGCAACCTCAGCCCCCTCTGCCCCCGTAGCTCCCGGTCCCGCCGGCGCGCGGCGCAGGTGAGGGCGGGGCGGGCGCGGCGGGGCGGGGCCTGAGCAGCCGGCGCCCCGCCCGCCCCGAGCCCGCGGCGCGGCCCCGCCACCTCCACCTCGCCGAGCCGCGGAGCGCCGCCGAGCGGCGGGCTGGCGGGCGCTCGCTCCGCCCCCTCCGGGCCCGGCGCGCCGGCTCCCGCCTCCTTCCCTCTCCGCCCGCTCCCGCCTCCCTCCCTTTCCGCTGCCCAGGCGGCGGGAGCCGAGCCCGAGCGCACCGAGCCGCGGCCGCAGCCGGGCGGCGGGTGCAGAGGCAGCGGCAGCGGCAGCGGCGGGGCGGGCCGCGGGCGGGCGGCGGCGGTGGCGGCGGCGATGCGGCGGCTCCGCTGAGCCCGCCCGCGCTCCTGGCGCCGGGGGCCGGCCGCGGGAGGCGGCCCGGGCCAGGCGGCAGCATGCGGAGCGGCGAGGAGCTGGACGGCTTCGAGGGCGAGGCCTCGAGCACCTCCATGATCTCGGGCGCCAGCAGCCCGTACCAGCCCACCACCGAGCCGGTGAGCCAGCGCCGCGGGCTGGCCGGCCTGCGCTGCGACCCCGACTACCTGCGCGGCGCGCTCGGCCGCCTCAAGGTCGCCCAAGTGGTAGGTGCCGGGCGGGGCCCCAGGTGCCGGGCGGGCGGCCTAGCCGTGCGCCTTCTCCCTCCCGGGCTCCCGCTGCGGGGGCGCAGGCCCGGCCGGCCTCCGCCGCGTCCCCGCCTCCCGGGGCCAGACCCCGGCTCCCCGGAACCCTGGCTCCCGCGCTGGCTCTCCGGGCCTCCCTCTCGCCTCCCCTGGGGGACCTTGCCCTCGCCGCACCCTCTGGGGGACCTGCCCTGTGCATCCTGGCTGCCTCAGGTGTGTGCCTTCTACCTGGGCAGCTGTCCCCGGGCCTACCTGTCCACTCGCGCCTCCCCCCTTGGGAGCTGGTCTTTGCTGTTGTGCTTGGCGGTGCGCGGCGCCCGGCGCGCAGGGCTATCTCGTCCCCGGGGTATTTCTGATGGGCGCAACTTGTGGCAGGTTGTCGGGGCCCACACAGCCTCCGGACGGTCCGTGTCTGGCTCTGCCCCCCGGAGATGGGCAGCTGTGGCTTGGTTGCCTAGCGGGGTGCCTGGCATATGGCAGCCGGCAGGAACTGTTGCTGGGAGGCAGGTAGCCCAGGTACGGTGGGGACGCCCAGATCGGCCACACACAGCCTCCCGCTTATGCCGCAGGGGTCTGAGCCCTGCTGATTGACCGAGAACACAGAACCGGCCGCCCGGAACCCTCCGCGCCAGCATGGTGGCTGGCACTGCCCAGTTGGTACCCAGAGTTAAATCACTCTGGGAGGGCAGCCAGTTTCGGAGGTAACAGAAACAGAGAACTTTCTGTTGGACTCGTCCGGAGTGGAGCTCATTCCTCAGGGTCCTTGTTTTTAGCTTCCAGGGTGTTCCAGACACCGGCCTCTCGGCTCTGTGCCTGTTTTGTGGTTTTGTTGAACAGGCCTGTGCGGGTGGTTGGTTAGCTCTGTGGTGGACAGGGCTTGCTCTGGAAAACCCTCGGCGGCTTCCATGTTCCCTGTCTCAGGTAGGCGCTCCTCTGAGTGCCTGCCGCCAAAGTTTTTAGACCCACCCCCACCCCCACCCCGGGAGAAGCCATTTGCAGAGAGCCACAGCGTGTGTGCATTTTGTTCCTTGTGCTTACTGGAGAGCATAAGCCAACATTCCTTGGGAATCATGTGTGGACGCCCGTTTCAATCAAGGTCTGTGTCGACTGCAGAATCACGAAGTGTTTTATCTCTGCCTGGTAAAAGGCTCACTGCTGATTGCCGGGAGTGTGTGGGGGTGGGGGTGGGGGTGGGGGTGTATTTTTGAAGGGCGTCGGGACAGGTAAATGGAGCAGGTTATTTGTCTCTAGAATTTTCAGCTGACGTTTTCCCAGGAAGCGGGAATGTTCTCCGAGGTGATTGGTTCAGTAGTTAGGTGTTGCTGTTAGCAAGGAGAATGGAGGAGGGGCAGGGGGGCGGGGCTTTGCCAGGGTTTTGAGTAAATGGGGCTGAACTTGGACCAGGTCGGGGACAGGGTCTCTTCAGGGGCCTTGCTGTGTTTACTCCCTGGGGTTTTGAGGGTAAATGGAACTTGCCATGGTGAATTCACTTGTCACTCAAAGACTGGTAAACGAATTGAAATTCAGTAGTCGATACACCTCATTGCTGGGACTTTGTCACCTATGGCCTGGGATGGGAGCTGTTGGAATGTATTTACCTTTTGGGAAGGTACTAGTTTGTTGTAGAACTTTGCTTTTAATCTGGAAGAATTTGGGGGCCCAGCCCCTAAAACCTTGCCCAACTCCGCCATTTGTCTACTCACTGGAACTTAAACAGTGAGAAGTTATGTCGGAGTGAGTGGAGGAAAGGGATCCGCCTGTCGGCTACGGCGGCTTGAAACTGTCTTCTGTTTCCTTAGCTTCTCAGCTCTTACACAGGTCAGGGATGTTAGAGGGGGAAACCCCTGGAAGACTCCAAAAGATTACAGTCTAAGCTGGAAAAGAAAAGTGAGGGAGATTGTCCTAAGATATTACAAAACTCAGAGTCCCATCAAGAGTCAGTTCTAACTTTGGAGAAAAAAATGACTTTAAAAAATTTTGGTTTTTGTAGACATTTTTGGTGGTCTGTGACCTGTTGCAACTTGCAGATCCTTGCGATTTCAGATGTGGCCCATAGGCCAACGGCACTGCCCTCATGTGAGAGCAAGTTAGTGCTGTGGAAGCAGGGGCGGGCCCTTGGCGCAGCGGTCAAGTTGCTGCTTGAGACCCGTGCTTCCCACATTGGAGCGCCTGGGTCCAGTCTCCCACTCTGCTTCCAGTCCTGTTCATGGGTACTCTGGGAGACAGCAGGTGATGGCGCAAGTACTTGGGCCCCTACCACCTACATGGGAGACCCACACGGAGTTCCAGGGTCCTGGCTTCGGCCTGGCCCTGTCCCAGCTGTTGTAGGCATCTGGGCAGTGAATCAGCAGATGGAAGATTTCTCTCTCTCTCACACGCGCATGCACTGTTTCTCTGGGTTTCAAATAAATAAAATTAATGAATAAAAAAATTCAGAAATGTAGGAGCAGCACCTCACTCCGGACCTTCTGAATCATAATTTGCATTATAACAGCATTCCCTTAGGTGATCTGCATGACACTGAAGTTTGAGATTTAAGCTTTCTGCATCATTTTAGGGAGTAACCTTACACAGGTGCCAGCAACCAGCTCTCTATCAGAACCATTAGTCAAACTGAAGGCTGAGTTTTCTATGTAAGAGGAGCCAGTCCCTCCCTCCAAAGATTAAGAGAATGAGCTATTATGTAAGAATTAGCACCTAGCTCATTAGGTGTTTAATTGGTGTAATAAATGTAAGCTATCATTGTTGCTAATTAATATTTCCTGTCTCTAGAGAAACTTGGCAGTAATGTCACCTGAAAATCCTAATTACATATTTGAATAAATATAGCTTAATTTTTGATTTAAAGTTTCCTCTTGGAATGTTGTTTGAGGGTAAAACTAATCTGAAATGTTATGAAAACTGATCAGTGCAGTTGCTTAGGTTATATCCTTTCAAAATGCTACCTGGGCCTACCTCTGAGTGGGGGGAGAAAGTACTATGGTTACATCAAACAATGAAGTTTGCTTTTTGTGGAAAGAAGAGTTGGCTTGACCAACTGATTTAAACTACCTGCATTCCTCTTATGAGTGTGAGGTTTATTTATTATTATTTATTTGAGAGGTAGAGTTACAGAGAGAGGGAGAGACAGATCTTCCATCTGCAGGTTCACTCTAAATGGCTGCACAGGCTGGAGCTGAGCCGATCCAAAGCCAGGAGCTTCTTCCAGGTCTCCCGTGTGGGTGCAGGGTCCTGGGGACTTGAGTCATCTTCCACTGCTTTCTCAGGCCACAGCAGAGAGCTGGATTGGAAGAGGAGCAACTGGGACACGAACTGGTGCCCATATGGGATGCTGGTGCCACAGGAGGAGGCTTAGCTTACTACGCCACAGCGTGGGTCCCATGAGTGTAAATTTTGTGAAAACTGGTTTTCAGCTGTCAGACACCAGTTAATGAAATAGCTAATGTAGGCCATTAGCTTGTTGTTATTCTTAAATCAACTGATGGAAAGCAGAGTTTTGTCCTTAGGGTGGAGGACAGGGGACCAGGCTCTGGAGTGGACAAGGCTGACCGGTAATAGCAGGAGGTGTCGTGCAGGCTCACTCTCCACCGTAGTCGTCCGTGTTTTACGGATGAGGAAATTGAAGCCCGGAGGTGCTGAGTCACTCAAGGTCCCGGGGCCAGGCATGGAGGAGCTGGGCTTTGAACCCCGGCAGTCTGGTTTCAGATCAGCTCTTCGCCACCTCCTGAACATGTGGATTTAAGTTCTGCAGAGCAGTGCCGGGCACTTGCAGGTCAAGGATTTTGCTGGGATCCGGAAGCAGCCCAGTGTCTCGGGCGTGAATTTGTCGATGCTGGAGAGAGAGGGAGACGAGGGGTGCTGTTTGGAGGTGGGAGGTCCTGTTTAGTGCTGAGCTGGCCCACCTGACAGCTCACCCCCTTCCAGGAGTGAGGGCATGGGCCCTCTCAAAGGCATTTCAGTTCCTCGAAGACCCTGCACGGGCCCCTGGTCGCTTCAGATCCTGTTTTCAATCCTCTCCCATGCCAAGCTGACCTTTTGCAGTGGTTTGTCTAGAATCCTTCTTAGGCAGGGGTAGGCTACAAACACCCTAACCCCGGCTGTGGCTTCCTCGGTAGCAGAAGGTGGGCGTAGTGACTAATTGAGCATTTCAGGAATTATATGAACTAATGTTTGATAGGTGCTTTCTTAGGTGTGTCAAAGGCAAATCTGAGTATTTGCATTTTGGGGTTGGGTGATGGCATATCTTATTTGACAGCTTTTCACCTCAAGGCAGTCTACACAACTCCGACTGGTTCCTGCTCGCTGGGGCCTTAGAAAACTGGGTTTTTACTAAAGTCCAGTCGGGAAATAAATGATAGATAAAAAGTAGACACAACCTGGGAATCAGTCACATTTACGAAGCAGCAGCCTTGATAAAGGGCTGGCCCGGCACAGCCCGCAGTGTATCAGCCCCACATCCCCCAGCAGGGTAGGAGGGGCGGGTTCACCCGAAGGTCGGTTAGGACAGACCTGGTTTCTTGCTTCTGAAGACCTGGCCAAAAGAGCAGGCAAGGCTCCGCCCCGCAAACGCAGACTGTACCTTGCCCGACCCTGAAGGGCGCTGCGCCCTGCTAAGAACAGAAGATCCTTCGCCTGAGGCAGGTGGGACTTGAAAGTCAATAAATCTGTTGCAAGCTGAGGTTTAGGTGGAATTAAATATCCAGGTGACCTTTGGCCGTCTTCCCCACCTCTGCTTTAGATCGCTATCTTTAGGAGTTGCCTTCCTGATCAAGGACTTGGAATCAAATTCTAGCAGGAAAGCAAAGTTAAAACTAGTCTTTATTTTTTAGCCGGTGCCGCGGCTCACTAGGCTAATCCTCTGCCTTGTGGCGCCGGCACACCAGGTTCTAGTCCCGGTCGGGGTGCCGGATTCTGTCCCAGTTGCTCCTCTTCCAGGCCAGCCCTCTGCTGTGGCCAGGGAGTGCAGTGGAGGATGGCCCAAGTGCTTGGGCCCTGCACCCCACGGGAGATCAGGAGAAGCACCTGGCTCCTGCCATCGGATCAGCGCGGTGCGCCGGCCACAGCGTGCCGGCCGCGGCGGCCATTGGAGGGTGAACCAACGGCAAAGGAAGACCTTTCTCTCTGTCTCTCTCTCTCTCACTGTCCACTCTGCCTGTCAAAAAACAACAACAACAACAACAAAAAACTAGTCTTAAGTTTTTATGATGATTAAAAATAGTACAGTTATCCACGTCCTCCAAAAACCACATGAATATTGGCTTGTTGTTGTTGTTGTTTTAAAGATTGATTTATTTTATTTGAAAGGCGGAGTTACAGAGTCCTCTACATCTGCTGGTTTATTTCCCAAATGGCCGCAGTGGCCAGGGCCGGGCCAGGGGCCTGCACCACCAGCCGGTCTCCCATGTGGGTGGCAGAGACCCAAGTCCTTGGACTATCTTCTGTTTTCCCAGGCACATCAGCAGGCAGCTGGATGGAAGTAGAGTAGCTGGGACTCGAACTGGTGCTCTCATATGGGATGCTGGTGTTGCTGGCTGCAGCGTAACCCTCTGTGCCACGATGCTGGCCCATGTGCTGTTTTACAAAACCAGACAAATAGCTGGGGAAGAGAATACCACAGACAATATTACCCATGAAGGCAGACACAAGATTCTCAACAAAGTAACTAGGAAATCAAATCCAGCAATAGCAAAAAGAGTAACACACCACAGCCAATTGTGATTTATCCCTGGAACAAGAAAGAGGCTGGTGCAGTTTTCAAAAATGAGTATATGTAGTACATCCTATGAATAGCTTGAAGAAGGAAGAAAACACAGGTAAGTCCATTGATGCAGAGAAAACATTTGACAAAATTCAGCACTCATGATAAATGCTGTCAGCAGACCTGGCAGAGGACATCCTCAACCAAGAAAGTGTTACCGGAGAAATTCAGGCGTGAGACAGAGAGTAGTGGGAGGTAAAATAGCAAGGTTTATTAGGGAAGGGACATCCGTAAGGATGGATGGGCACCCCTCCAGACAGGACCTGGGAGGGTGCCCAGTCACTTGGACTGGGGTGGGGGGAAGGAACGAGGTTACATGGTTGGGTGGAGAGATGACACCTGGCCATACCAGGCGGGCGACTCAGCATAGAGGCAGAGGGCTGAGCGCGCAGCTCCTTAAAGGAGCTCCTTAAAGGAGATGGGTCTTTGTCTTCACACATCTCCTCCTGAAACAAAGGATTTTATGGCTGTAAATATTAAGAAGTTCCTATAGTTTTCCCTTGAAGGTATCAGACAGGAGGAAGCCTAGCTGGCGCCATCCTGGGTTCAGAGGAAGGGTGAGCAGGACGCCCTAGAGAATGGGGATCCGGAGCAGGGTGTTTGAAATGCAGATACTGGGCTGCACCTGGGAGATTGTGGAAGATTTGTCTGGCAGAAGGGGCAGGGACCTCCACCTGGCAGGTGATCAGGTAGAAGGGGGCAGGGCAGGATGCAAATACCAGGCTGCCCCTGAAACATTGTCAGCAGATGCATATGCTGGACATAGATGTCTTCTCTTTAGGCCTTTCTGTCACACACACATAAGCTCATAACTGACTTCCTACCTAACAAAAGGACGTCTACAGAACATAGACAGCTGGGAAAGAGTGAGTGCTTTCCCCTAAAACAGGGACAGGCAAGGCTGTTTGCTGTCACCACTCATATGCAAAGTGCTAGTCCCAGCAAGTGCAAATAAAATAAATAATCAAAGACATTCAAATTGAAGAAATACAATTGTCTGTTTGCAGATGGTATGATTGTCTATGTAGATGATCCCATAGGAATTTATAAAATAGAACTAATAAGTTAGCAAGTTTGCAGGATACAAGGTCAGCACATGAAAATCAAATGTATTTCTGTAGCAGAAAATCATTGGAAATTGAAGTAAAAAAATCAATATTATTTGCAATCGTTTTGAAAATAATGGAACTCTTGGGTATATGTCTACAGAACATGTACAGGATCTGCACACTGGAAACTACAAAGACTAAGGAAAGAAATCAAACACAGTCTAAGTAAATGGGCACATATACGGTGTTCCTGGATTGGAAAACTCAGTGTAGTTAAAATATCCATTCTCAGGACTGGCGCTGTGGTACAGTGGGTTAAAGCTGCGGCCTACAGCGCCGACATCCCATATGGGCACTGGTTCGCTTACCTGCTGCTCCACTTCTGATCCAGCTCTCTGCTGTGGCCTGGGAAAGCAGTAGAAGATGGTGCAAGTCCTTGGGCCCTTGCACCCATGTGTGAGACCTGGAAGAAGTTCCTGGCTCCTGGCTTCTGATCAGCTTAGCTCTGGCCGTTGCGGTCATTTGGGGGAGTGAACCAGCAGATGGAAGACCTCTCTTTCTCTGGTTCTACCTCTCTCTGTAACTCTATCTTTCAAATAAATAAAATAAATCTTTAAAAATAAAATATCCATTCTCCGCAAATGATCTTTATAGGTTGAACACCATCCCAGCCTCCTCACAAGATTTTGTGTAAAGTGATTCCAAAATTTGTGTAGAAAAAGCCAAGTTAGCCAGGTGAAAGGATGCTTTTGGGAAGAGTGCTCCCAGCAGAGGGAACAACAGGACAGGGACTGGCCCTTGCTTAGGATAGAGCTGTGTGTGTGTGTGTGTGTGTGTGTGGTCGGTCGGTCGGTCGGTCGAGGCAGGTGTCTCGGCCATGAGACTTTAGGCAAGATGGTTGTTCACCAAAGGTCCCAAGCACATCTCATCTCCTGTAAGCTGAGGACGATGATGGTACTGCCTTACCTGTCCCAATGAGCCTGCAGTAAAGTCCTCAGCTCAGTTTTTCTCACCAAATCCTCACACCTGTGAGTTTGGAGGTGGCTGTGGTGTGAATGTTGTTGCCACCATTCCCACCAAATTCATGTGTTAGGAACTAATGCTCAGTGTGAAAGTGTTAAGAGATGGGTCCTGTTGAGCAGGCAAGGGATCAGGGCCCTCCCAGAGAGGTGGGGGGAGCAGCCTTGCCCCTTTGCCGCGTGAGGTCACCTGGAAGTGCCATCTGCACAGAGCAGGCCCTTTGCAGAATTCGCTGACACCTTGATCTTGGGCCTCTCAGCCTCCAACACCCTGAGCAATAGATGTGTTGTTTATAAATTGCCTGGTCTAAGGTAGTATGTTATAGCCCCTCAGAGGCATAGAATGTCCCTGGAATGATACAAATTGGAGAAGGGGGAGGCCAGGGGACAGGGAGACATTTGTCACTGTGAAACTCTTCACACCTTTTGAATTTTATACTACACGCAAGGACCTCCTATTTAAAAATTACTAAAATGCTGTTACCAGTTCTACCTTCATATAGATTAGCCTTCAAGCTAATATACTGACCATCATCTTTATTTAAACTTTTACTGCTTCCCTTTATAACTGGGAGAGCCCTGGGGAGAATGACTTAGATACTACAGACCTCTTGAGCAAACTTGAAGGATAAAATTATTTTCAGTACATTTTCCTGTTTAAAAACATAGCAGACATTCTGCATGTTAGCAGGTGCTCAGTAAATTTCTTGATGCTGGTGGAAAACATCTTCCACTTGAAAGAAATATACTCCTATTTTGTTTATTGATTTAAATGTTGCAACATTAAAGGAAATGAGGGGGAAATCATCTAGTGTGAGACTCAAGAAGAACTGGGGATTTTTCTTTCCAAAGGCCTGTGAGATGCCCTGGGGCCAAGTCCAAGATCATGGCTTCCAACTATTTGCTGTTGGGAAGACTGCATCAGATAAGTGTCTTCAAGAATAAGCCCGATTCTTCTTTTGAATTATTTTTTGGTTAAACATTTTTAAAAGATTTACACAGAGAGAGAAGGAGAGGCAGAGAGAAAGAGAGAGAAAGGTCTTCCATCCACTGGTTCACTCCCCAAATGGCTGAAACAGCTGGAGCTGCGCTGATCCGAAGCCAGGAGCCAGGAGCTTCTTCTGGGTCTCCCACGTGGGTGCAGGGACCCAAGGACCTGGGCCATCTTCTGCTGCTTTCCCAGGCCATAGCAGAGAGCCGGATTGGAAGTGGAGCAGCCGGGGCTCGAACAGGTGCTGACCCGCAGCGGCAATCACCTGGGAAACAGTGACCTCTGCAAGTCCTGTGGCTCTTCCTGGACTGCAGGCCCAGACTAATTCCTTTTTGATAGTTCTGGAGAAACTTTTTCTTTTCTTTCTTTTTTTTTCCGCGCACTCTTTTATTGGGGGCGGGCGGGGCTCAGTCCTTGGCGGCCGCCTTGCGCATGGCGGCCAGCACGCTGCTCAGCTCCTCGCGCTTCCTCTTGGCGCGGATGTGCGTGCCCACCCTCTTCTTGATGAACTTGAGCGCCCGTTTGTCCTTGGAGACCTTGAGCAGCTCCATGGCGCGGCGCTCGTAGGGGGCGAAGCCGCACACCTCCCGGATCATGTCCCGCACGAACTTGGTGTGCTTGGTGAGGCGCCCGCGCCGGCGGCTGTGCCTCGGCTTGCTCACGTTCTTGGTCACCTTGTGGCCTTTGTTGAGGCCCACGGCCATGGGGTAGCGCAGGGCCGTGGCTGCAGCTTTCCGATGGCGGCCGGGGCGGAAGGAACGGCGCCGCACGGAACTCTGGAGAAACTTTTTCTTAACTGGAGATTGATGCGAGCCTTTCCTAGGCCACAGGGATCCAGAAGACGCTGAGGACTGACAGGGTTCCGGAGGTGCTGAATGAATGCTGCTGGGTTCCTTGGTGCGGCACTGCGGGGAGGTGGGGCCTGGTGGGGGTGTTTGCATCATGGAGGCAGAGCCCTGGTGCACGGGTGGGTGCCTTCTTCCCACCTGCGCTAGCAGGGCTGGATCAGGTACTGCAGCAGCACTGCCCCTTGTGGCGCCTGTGCTTTGTCGTCAGTGCACCCGTGGGTTGAAGCAGCAGGAGGCCCTCACCAGAAACTGATCTCGGGCTTGTCAGCATCCAGAACCCTGAGCCCAAAGAAAACTCCTTTTCTTTGTGAGTTACCCAGCCTCAGGTGTTGTGACACAGCAGCAGTAACCACACAAGACAGATGCCCGCTGCGTGTCAGAAGCAGTGCTGGATGTACCTTAGCTGCCCCACATGTGGGGGCCATCCCTGTAAGCACCGAGCAGCCTGGGCTGAGTGCCCCCACCCCGCTCCCCACGGGTCCTCCCTGAGTGGTTGAATAAACAACTGGAAAGGCCAGCTTGTTGACCTTCAATGGCATGGCCGCCTCTATCCTTGTTCCTGGGACTAGCCCCAGTACCTTTAGTGGGGTCAGAGTTCTTTGGAAAACAGGACTATTTGTTAGGGAGTAGCATAGTTAGTCAGAAGGGCTGTGACCATAGGTAATAAATTGTCCTGGACAGTCCCTATTGTCTGTGCTGCCTCATCAGACTGTGTCCTCAGTTTAAAAAAAAAAAAAAAAAAAAAAAAAAAAAAAAAAAAAAAAAAGTCGGGGGCTGGCTCTGGCGTAGCGGGTAAAGCTGCTGCCTGCTATGCTGGCATCCCGTATGGGTGCCAGTTCGAGACCCGCCTGCTCTACTTGCAATCCAGCTCTCTGCTGTGGCCTGGGAAAGCAGTAGAAGATGGCTCAAGTCCTTGGGCTCCTGCACTCACGTGGGAGACCTAGAAGAAGCTCCTGGCTTCGGATCAGCGCAGCTCCGGCTGTTGTGGCCATTTGGGGAGTGAGCCAGTGGATAGAAAACCACCCCTCCCACCCCGCACTGCCTGTCCTTCTCTCTGTGTAACTCTGCCTTTCAAATAAAGAAAGCAATCTTTAAAAAAAAAAAAAGCACCGTTTGAAATATGAAGTATTCCAGGGATGTGCCGTGGCTCACTAGGTTAATCCTCCACCTGCGGTGCCGGCATCCCATATGGGCACTGGGTTCTAGTCCCGGCTGCTCCTCTTCCAGTCCAGCTCTCTGCTGTGGCCCGGGAGGGCAGTGGAGGATGGCCCAAGTGCTTGGGCCCTGCACCCCATGGGAGACCAGGAAGAAGCACCTGGCTCCTGGCTTTGGATCGGCGCAGTGCTGGCCGTGGCAGCCATTTGGGGAGTGAACTAACGAGGGAAGACCTTTCTCTCTGTCTCTCTCTCTCACTGTCTATAACTCTACCTGTCAAATAAATTTTAAAAATATGAAGTATTCCAAGCACTGACACGAAAGTGATTCATAGGCACCCATCCGTTCACTGTGTGTCCTCGTGATTTTATTTGGAAGGCGGGGGAAGTAAAAAGGGTGCGAGGAGGCAGGATTTGGGTTCCTTAGCAAATGGGACTTGAGGCTGCTGGAAGTGGGTAAGGGCACACCCTGCCGGGGGACAGCCTCAGTCGTGTGGGTGACAGAGGACAAGGCACACTGGACTCTGTGCAAGGTGGTCCGGGGTGCAGGGGTGGGGTGGCACTGGCTAGAGGGGAAGGAAGAGAAGAAGGGCACAGGTCTCAGAAGGGGACGCCTCCTCCGGGAGAAGGTTCTGCTCCTTTCATACTGGTAAATTACTCTGTTTTTGGGCAGTTTCACTTCTTGATAGAGGGGGATCTTGCATGAAAGCAGTCTCCCCTGAAGGCTGGCTCAGCCTCCGGCGTGGCCTGGTTGCCTTTGTGTAAGATTTCGGGGGGCCTTTCGCTGGCTTTCAGAGTGGGATTCCCTAGAGAGATCTAAGGTGGCAGTCGGGGATTCGGAGTCAGAAAGAGGGGCTGGGAACTAATGGTGTGTCAGAAAGTCCAGCAAAAGCCACAGTGAGCCGAGCAGGGCGCATTTCTCACCTTTGGCTGGAATGTTACAGTCCTGGTTGTCTCGTGACGTTCAGAAGCGTCACTGAACATCTTGACTAACTCGCCCCCGCCTCGGTCTTTGCACTCGGGGTTGGTTCTCCCATCCCTCAGCCCTTCCCCTAGAATGCTCTGCTGGCTCTGTTCCAGTTCCTGCTCCCAAGAGCCCCTCGCTGGCCACCAGGTCTGCAGTAGGACCCGACCCCTCCCCTGGGCATTTACACCTGACCGAGGGGCGGGAGAAGTCTGCAGCTGCGTTCGCAGCGTCTAAGCCAGTGCTCACAAAGATGAATAGTGGATGATAGATGTTGGTTTAATGAGAGATAGGAAGAAATACTGGATTATTACTTAACAGAATTTGTAAGTCCAAGTAGTTTGAAAGCATGGAGTCCTTAAAGGAGAACTAACATATGTATAAATAAATAAAGCGCCGGCCTCTGTTCTTAGTGGAAAGTACTGGGGAGAAAGAATGGAAATAAAATGCCACTATAATTACTTTTTTCTTTTTTTAACTTTAAGTTTTTAAAAGAGTACTGCTACTAGGATACAGGAGCTTTTGCTTAGGAGACAGATTTTTGTACGAGTGGGGGAAACCGTAAGAGGCTTTGCCAAGCTTTTTGCTTAGAAACGTGTAAAATGAAAACCAGGGCTTCTGTAATGATTACCGAAACTGTCGGCTGTCAGCTGAATGGGTCAGGGCCGCATGGCTCGGGTCAGCCACCCCATGTCTTTTTTTTTTTTTTTTTAAGGTTTTGTTTATTATTTATTTGAGAGGGAGAGTCAGAAAGAAAGGTCTTTCTTCCGTTGGTTCACTCTCCAAATGGCTGCAATGGCCGGAACTGCGCCGATCTGAAGCCAGGAGCCAGGAGCTTCTTCCAGGTCTTCCACGTGAGCGCAGAGGTCCAAGGACTTGGGCCATCTTCCACTGCTTTCCCAGGCCACAGCAGAGAGCTGGGTGGGAAGAAGAGCAGTTGGGACTAGAACTGGCGCCCATGTGGGATGCCGGCGCTGCAGGCGGAGGATGAACCTGCTGCACTGTTCCCCTGCTGCCACCATGTGCTTTGAGGAGGAGAGATGCTGCCCGCTTGAAGAAAGCCCTGGCTGGGACGTGTTGATTACAGTTAGACAGCAGTCCCATGAGGCCTGCAGAGGGGTGGAGGCTGGGCAGCTCGCAGAGGTAGCACTGGGATCCAGAGCTGGTCTCTGCGAGTCTCACAGGGCTGGTCAAGCTTGGGAATCAAGCGAGTTGTGAACACTTCAGACGCTCAGGGTTTGGTGGAGTCGTGCTGGTCCTGGACGGTCGCTTTATCACCCCTGCCATTCGATGACGGGCGCAGTGGAAGCCTTCATTTTTGTGGTTTCCCGTTTATTCCAGCCCCGCTATGAAAAACAGTTTAAGGCTAAAAGATTTCTGTGCCAGTGGAAAAAAAGAGAAGAAAAACAAAACAAGAGCAGGAGCAGTGGGCCTTGCAGTGCTGCTGCTGCCCCCGCTCGTCCCCTCTCACGCTCGGGCCACACCCTGAGCCTGCACGAGCTGCCATCGCCAGTCGGCTGAGCAGCTGCAGAGCTAACATCGCTGCCTCTCTTTAAAAAATCCACACCTTTCTTGAGTGCAGAGACCGGGCCAGCTGCTGTTAGGCAAATAATAAGCAGGACAAATATCCCTGCCTCCAAGGAGCCCACAGTCCTCCTGTGGTTGAGGGTTTGGGGTGGACAAATGTACACACGCACTATGCATAGGACATGCTGTCCTATGCATGTACTCCGAAAAGCTCATGGATAATGGAATTAAAAGGTAAGTTCATTTGGATCAAAAAAAAAAAAAATAAATAAAAATAAAAAAGAGACCCATGAATGCAAGGGATCTTAACAAAGTTAATGAAACATGAGTATTATGAAAAAGAACTATGCATGGATTTCAAGATTTTTTTTTTATTCACATTTTCCATAAACTTTCTGAAGTACCCTCGGAGAGGCCTGGAGACAATGGGCAGGGGAGCACCTGTGGCCTTGTGTCAGGGGTGGCACGTTGACGTGACAGGTTGAGTGGCGAGTGCCTGGAATAAGGAGTGCTGTGTCCTGTGGCTCAGAGATCCCCCCCCCCCCCCCCCCCCCCCCCCGGTGCAGGGAGTCAGGGCAGGCCCAGGATCTGGGGGGAGGGAGGCGAGTCAGGTGTGGCCCACCAGGCACAGTGTGGGAAGGTGGGCAGGGCCGGTGGTTCGATGCACTGGATGGACCGAGGAGCGCTCAGGCTAGGGAGGGCCTGGTTTGTTAGGCTAACGAGCTGTGGCCGCTGAGCACTGAGGTGTGGCTAGTATGAACTGTGATGTGTGTAAGTGTAAAATGCATGCCTGCTTCCAAGGATTTAATGGGAAAAAATGTAAAACTTCTCAATATTTCATATTATACATTGAAATAATAATGCTTTGGGTATATTGGGTTAAATTAAATATCCTATAAAACTAATTCTACTTATTTCTGTTCTTTTAAAAATATGGCTACTGGAAAATCTGTAATTGCATGTGGCTCACGTGTTCTGGGTTAGGCGGCCAGAGGAATGGCTTTTAGAAGGGCCAGACTGTGGCGGCTGGACCTGGTAAGGGACTTGGAATGAGTCAGGTATGAGTCAGGTGGAGGAAGAGGGGATGGGAAGGACGTGGCAAATGGGAGAGCATTCAGGGTGGCAGTTACATTTTATGTTTTTATTTAGCAATTGATTAAATTCACATTTCTTTATGATTTCTTTATTTCCTATTTATTTGACAGATAGAGTTAGACAGTGAGAGAGAGAGACAGAGAGAAAGGTCTTCCTTCCGTTGGTTCACCCCCAAAATGGCCGCTACAGTCAGAGCTATGCCGATCTGAAGCCAGGAGCCAGGTGCTTCTCCTGGTCTCCCATGGGGTGCAGGGCCCAAGCACTTGGGCCATCCTCCACTGCACTCCCAGGCCACAGCAGAGAGCTGGACTGGAAGAGGAGCAGCCGAGACTAGAACCTGGCGCCCATATGGG